GTCCAAAACGACATCGTATGCAGAAGAGAACCTTCCTATCCAAAAAGGGCGCCTGATCTCGCAAATGATTAAACCTTACTTAACCCCCTCGGGCCCTCAGAGTCCCAGACGAGAGTAAGAGGAGTTCTGAGAAAATGAGAGATGAGATACACAGAGGTGGTCTGGAAACCCTAACAATGGCATTGGCTCTGTGATCGGAGCCTTCGCTGGAGATCAGAGACATGAACGTGAAGAAAGAGAGAGCCGACGGGGCATGAAGAAAAGCTCCTCCAATGCGATTCTTGTTTTGCGAGGTTTAACGCCTCGATGGCCGCCATTGATCTACGACCGGATCCGTTCAAGATCTCACCGTTGAAATCGCGTAGTAATTAACACCAAGACCAGAGATCTGATGGGGCTAGGTATGGGGGTTTCAGGACCCTTCAATGTTGATTTTGAAATTTAGGGTTTACTTAGGTTTATGGTTTACGGAGATCATTTTTTTGATTTGATGGAGTGACATGCCTGAGGAATTAATTAGTAGGTCGGTCTTTAATTCAATGCATTAATGCGTTCGCTGTTTGCTTCCATTCCAGGTACACTCCCTGGCAGCTTGCTCAAGATGCGATAGGGTGCGATGTTGATTAATAGAGGCACTCACAGCGGGCCTTCCATATCTTTAAGGTTTTACCCCTTACTCATTCAAGCATGTGGTTGTATATTTTCTTTTGTAAAATGTCACCTTTCGTTTTTAAATGGAAACAAAATGAACAAAAATAAGTTTCCAGAGGCAATTAGCGTAGCATTGTTGAAAACTTGAACGATATATGTGACAAAAACAAAATTGGCACACATTATGGGAGCGCTTTGAAATAGCATATTTTTGTTGAATGATGTATTCTGATATGAGGGAGTGGGGGACGGTATCTTACATATGGAATTGGGAACATTGTGACATTACATCAGTGATACACGGTGGCGTGGTGAATTTAAAAGTAATCATTTGTAGCAATATCGGATGGTCTAATAACCATGCATAACTAGACTGTTCGACAACTTGATGATCCGACAAAAAGAGAACATCAGATGATGGGGTTTCTCTAACTTTCAATGTAACATGAGGTGAAAGACATTAGTGAAAAGGGTTAGTGTATTATTCAAATATTGTCGCACACAATGTTCTAGGCAATGTCAGTAATCTGAGTGTTTTAATTAGACTCTCCTTCTCAACTTTTCAAGTTAGGACGAGAATGCAAGGAGTCTCAGAAGTTCTCAGTATTTTCTTTTGCATCTATGCACCCAAGCAATGTTTATAGGTTGGAAATAAAATTGGAAGCAGTAAATTTCGTAGAACTAAAATTTATCTGTCCACATTGTCAAATATAGCGGAGGATAGATTGGCAGTTATAAATTTAGAAGTCTATTCAGTCTCTCTCTCTCTCTCTCTCTCTCTGGTGTTCTGTTATATTTCCTAGTTGTAGTTGTTACACATCAATCTTAATTTGATATAATTTTTCATTGCAACTGTTTATCATTCTTTTTTTGTTATCCATTGAACCTTTGGATTGTGTAAAAGCTTGAAGATATATAACATATATAATTTATGTTTTAGTTTTATCTCCGTGTATTGGCAGGTATTCTTTTTGGTAGTAAAATGTTGTTTAAAATGAAGTTATGAATATACAAATGTAGTAATAGAGTATTTTAAAATGTTTCTTCAAGATGTTGTGTTCTGGTTTGCTATCTTTAATATTCAGTGGTTATCCTACATCAAATGTTCTTCCTATTTGTTGCAGCATCTTGCATTTTAAATAAAAGAACCTGTTGTTCTATGTTCTTTTTTCTTATTGACATAACTGTTCTTCCTATAATTCCCACTTGTTGCATATTAACTTTAATTTCCCTTTTTTAATTCTATGGTTTTTTTTATATCCTTTTATATTACTAGATTTGGAGTTTGTCCATATTTTAAAAACACCATTCGTTCCTGAAATGCCAGCGCTGAAGTCTGTTACTGTTAGCTTTTTATTTTGTAGGTAATTTTTGAGGATTGATGTTTCTTCTAGAGACATGCAATGATGATTTTTGTTAGTTCGTTCGTTAGTGTGACGCTTTCTTATGTTTGTTTGTTGTGTCATACACTTGCACATTCAGTAGTTCTGCTTTGGTTCAACTTATTATTTTGCACACTGACCATCTGGTTTATTTCAGTCTTATTCCAATTGTTATTGTTTCTGATGGTTCTAATTGTTTAATTTTGTCTCAACTTTTGAGTCCTGGTATTATTTTATTAATTGTTTAACTATTTTGTTTTCCCAGGATATCTAAAACCAGAGGCTACCAAGATTTTGCCTCAAATTTCCTTTTTGTTTTTTTTTTATACTAATTTCATCTAATTTCAATCAAAAGAAGCCTGTATAATATCAGTTCTTTTATTTGAGTGCTGCGGATTGTAGTAATTATTTGTGTGCATTGTTTTCTTTTTGTTTTTCTTTTAGGGCCAAATATTTGTTGGGCTTGTTGATACTTCCGACCCTCAATTCTAAATTGGGCGTCGGCAAGTTTAAAGCATTTATAAACGACAAAATAGGACTACTCAAAGGCTCATGAAAGACAAAATCATAAACCATAAAAAACCCCCACTGGAAAGCCAATAAACAACAAAGTAGACAGTGAAGAGTTCCTAAGCGACAAAATAAGTGCAACGGAGGCCCAACAAACTGCAAATAGGCCCGAAGAGTGGCCAGTAAACGACATATCAGACCCAATAATGATAAAACAGGCTCAACAATAGCTCTTGCAGGCTCAGTAAAGAGCTACTAAATGACAAAGTAGGCCCAATGTAAGTGCACTGCAATACAAAATGGGGCCAGAAGGACAATAAACGACAAAACAGGCCCAACTAAGGCTTATAAGACAAAATGGGCCTGACAAATGGCCACTAAACGACAAAGTAGGCCCAAGAAATGCCTTAAATGACAACACAGGCCCAATAAAGAGGTGCTAAACGACAAAATAGGCCCACTAAAGAGTTACTAAACGACAAAGTTGGCCCAATGAAGGACAAATAAACGACAAAATAGGGACAATAAACGACAAAACAGGCCCCAACTGAGGCTCATAATAAACAAAATGGGCCTGGCAAATGGCCACTAAACGACAAAGTAGGCCCAATAAAGCGTTGCTAAACGACAAAATAGGCCCACTAAAGAGTTACTAAACGACAAAGTAGGCCCATAAGAACAACTAAACGACAAAATAGTCTAGCTAAGGTCAATAAACGACTCTTTTGTCGTTTATGAGCCTTAAAATGGGCCTGTTTTGTCGTCTAGTGGTATTATTGGGCCTATTTTGGCGTTTAGTGCACTTTTTATTGGGCCTATCTTGTCGTTTAGTGGTTCTTTATTGGGCCTATTTTGTCGTTTAGTTTCTTAGCGGTGTGCCTATTTTGTCGTTTAGTGACCTTCGTGGGCCTACTTGTCGTTCAGAGGACTCTCTTTGGGGCCTATTTTGTCGTTTAGTAGCCTTTCTTTGGGCCATTTTTCGTTTATGTGCCTTTTTGGGCCTATTTTGTACTTTATAGTGGGCTTATTGTGTCTTTATTGGGCCTTCAGTGGGCATACTTTGTCGTTGATGGGCCTTCAGTGGGCCCATTTCGAAGTTCAGGGGTGTTTAAGTTGGCCAATTTTGTCGTTAATGGGTCAGTCGAGGGGCAAATTACACAGTTTATTGGCCTTTCGGTGGGCTGACTTCATCGTTCATGGGGCTATAATTGGGTCGACATTGTCGTCAAAATCGTTATTAGGGGACGTTCACTCTTATTTGGTTACTTTGAACGATAAGGGGCCAATACTTTCTCAGACTGGATGCGCAAGCCCATAATTGATAATGGCGCAGTTCCAGAAATTCCAAAATCATTAAATAAATAAAAATTGCATTGAGCTAACGGGTTCAATGTTAATCATCCATCACAAATGTTAAAGGGTTGAGGGGTCCCAACTATTCTAGTTCTTAGGCCCAACCAGTGAAAATGCATTTCACCAAACCATACGCAGATTATCATTTCCATCCAACAACAAAAATTTGACCTATTGACTACATATAACATCTAATTTTGAAGTGGATTTCACTAGGATTCATGCACAGAAAAAAAGAAACAATAATAAATCGTCCAGCAACCTTTAATAATTCTATTTGAAGAAATTTGACATCAAACCAAAGAATATACTGTAACATGCTATAAATATATTACTATAAATTCATGTTATGCAATCAACTAAGGTTTGATATGCATCACATATGAAACCGGATGATTGAGCATTCACACGGAGACACACAAAAGAAGAAGAGCACAGAAACGGATCTCTGCAGATCACGAAAGTCAACATTGTCCATTTAGTACTACAGCCCTAAAGATGAGTGGTAAAATTCTATATATAGAAGATTTAACGTAATTTGTGATAGGAGAAAGTTCAAGGTCTTTAAAAGTAAGTCAAACCCAGATTGCAGATTGGGTGTGTCCAGGACCCCATGAAGAATTCCTTGCTATATTTTGGACCCTGCAATGCAAAGAGACCAGCGTTTTTTTTTGACATTCGTATGAATTTTGGAAATTACGCTTCCATCAAATCATACTTGCCATTTGCGACACCACTTGTAAAGTAGGTAGGGATGGGGACCAAATGGATACCAATTAGGTGGCGGTGGTTAGTACCCATGGGTGCCCATTGCCCATCCCTAGTCACAGTTAAAAAAATTTAAAACAATAAAAAACAAGTACATAAGATAGGATCTATTTGAATAACTCAAACCCAAAGGTTCTTTACAGCTACCCCTAACAAACTCTAGGAAGTTGAATTAAATGCTTAAGGGAAGCAGGGTTAACATCCTATATAAATAATGGTAGTGTTTAATCTTAAATGAAAAATTGAATATTTTTACAAAGTCTAAATATGTATTGTAATGTCACTGTCTCTCTGTGTGTGTGAGTGATAGATGAAAAATATGAATGGAAGGATGAAGGTCCTTTTACTAAGGCTTCTCTTTTCCTTCCCACGGGCTTGTCACAAAATTCTATACAAGTACCACATCTTGTTAAGCTTTAAAGTTTTAAGACATAAGAAACTGTCATAAGGCTGAAGGGAAGCTCACTTAAAGAGCAGACATAGGATCATTCTACACATTGTAAAGTAACAGGAACAAATGGTGGTAGTATAAAATGAACATGCCTGTATTGGAGCATCCTTTGCAGAAAGGGATTTAGAAAGTGACTTTCTTTGAAACCAAAGTCCATATCCATACGTTTTTTCAAACACACGCTACAAAAGAAAATGCAAAATTAAAACCTCTTTAAAAAATACATAGTTTGTACAATGAGCTCAAAGAAACTTAAATTTGGACTCGGCAGAAATTTAACTATACTTGAGATGTAGATAATGTAAAAATGGTTTTTCTATTTTCCCCCTTTTTTTTCACTCTGGATCGAGATAAAGTATAAACAAAAAAATAGAAAAGGAAAACTCATTAGTGCTCTCCTTTTTCACCACCAATTTCTTGTCCTCAAAATAAGGGAGGATATGAAGTTGGTTATCAGAAGAACGCTCTCTGCTCTCTAAGATCCCAAATCTTTAAAAAATCGCATCTGGTGCATACCTACATTGACGAACCCTAATTCGACTCCACTCCATAAACTTCATATATTGTTTGAATGCTATTATTTCTACAACTATCACCGCATGTAGTGAAACCCTAAGTGTTCTTTTATCACGCAAAGGAATCCTAGAATCAATACAAGAAAAACGTGTGAACAGAAGAATAGGGCAAAGATGCTCACCCTTGTTAACACCAGTCTATTATCACGCCGAGAATGAGTAACCCGTGGACGGCACCATCGAGATCTCGTACATTCTCGCCATTACCGTCGTTTCCCTAAGAAAAAACACATCCTCTTGCGATCTAAATACAAAACCCTAGAATTAATACAGGAAAAATGTGCAAACAAAAAGATAGGGTAACGGCGCTCACCCTTATGGACGACATCGTAGAGAGCTCGCGAGTGTATTGTTGCCATTGACGGTGGCCTGCGAAGCCGCTTTGTTCTCCTTTGCAATCGAAAAGCCCTAAACCCAAACGATGCTATTAATTCTCAGGAAGCTAGCATCGTCGACATAGTTGCTGTATTTCTGAGAAATACTAATCATCGATCTGTCTTTCTCTAGAAGATCGTATCGCGCGAATGTAGAAATGAATTCCTATAAAAAGAACAAGCAAAATTTTCTCTAGCAAATCATAAACTCGGGCCTTGGTTTTCTATCGAAACCCTAGCCCTGGGCCTTGATTTTCTAGAGAAATCTTAACCTTTGGGCCTTTGATTGTCTGAAAGAAACCCTAGCTCCTCGGCCCTGATGGGAAAACCACAACAATATATAGTAGAATGAGGCCACGGAGTTAGAGTCCTTTTACCGAGGTAAAAAGACCTTATCCTTGATGTTTTGGACTGAAAAGAAGACTATCGACCAAAAAAAAAAATACAAATTTATAAATAAACCCAATTCTAGACATGTATTTATAAAAAAATCCAAGCACTATTTAAACATAGAAACATACCCAAAATCAACCCCAAAGTTAACTTTTTGGGTGTGTTTATAAATGGGTTTTGAGTGTGTGTAATGATGGGTTTTGGGTGTGTTTATAAAGTGTTTTGGGTGTTGGGTTTTTTTATAATTTCAACCTCCATTTTGGGTGTTTTAGTGAAACTCCCAAAAAAAAACGGTGACTAAAATGAAGACGCGTCCGTGTGTGAAGTGTTTTCTTTCTTTTATTTGTTATTTGATTAAAAAAAATGTGCGCATAAACTTAAAGCATTAATTACATTTTTTATCACTGAAGTTTGGCTCGAAATTAAATTTGGTCATCTTGATTTCAGTACTTCAATTCCGTCAGTTTATTTAATTAAAAATATTTGATATTTTAAAAAATAATTAACTTAAATATAATATTTAATACTTCAATTCCGTCAGTTCATTTTTTATGTTCTTTCCCTTCACCCTTTTTTGTTTTTTTTTTTCTCTTTTATTTCCTCCTCTTCCTCTCTCTTTCTTTTTTGGGTTGCTCCTTCGCCCCCTTTATCTTGCCTTTTCATTCCTCTTCCACCTCTTAGGGAGCTGCTCTGTTTTTGCATAACAATTTTTAGTTTTTTTTAAAATGTTTTTTTGGGTCTTCTTGTTTCCTTTTTATTAGTTTTTGTTTTTCCCTTATCTTGTTTGCTATTTCTCTCGTTCTGCTACCTCTCATTCTCCCCTGCCTTGGGCTTTTCGGTGGGGCTGGTCTTTTCGATTTGAGACTGTTTGGTTGTGTATGTGGCTCTCGTTAAGAGTTGGGTGCCTCTCCTCTCTGTAGTGTCTGCTTGAGCCTTGTGCTTTGTGTTGAGAGTAAATGTCTCATGCCAATTTTGTGTCCTTCGTTCTCCGCCAAACAACTCCTTCAACCAGATTTATTTCTTCCTCAACTTCTCATCCTCTTTTTGCCTTATCCCTTTTTAGGATCCGGATTCTCCTTTAGGATACAACAACCATATCTATAAGCGCTTTGTCTGTCAAGCCTCGGACCCGGGGTAGGTGGAAACCCCGCGCCCGGTGCGTGAGAAAAATAAAAAGTAAAATAAAATAAAAAGAAACGAAAACATTGGGTTTGAATAAACTTCTCTTATGAAAATAGCTCCAAAATCTTACAATTTTACAATTAATAAATAAAACTCTATTACTCTTATCTAATTCAGCATCAACTAGTTTAGTCCTTGTCTTGTCCACTATTTCATCTGAAAAATTAAACAGGGTGAGGGGTGAGCAACCACAGCTCAGTAGGGACATGAGACCTTACCACAGTAGATTGATATAACTAAATTAAGTGATATGCAATCACACAGCCAAAATATCACGTTATTAATAATAATGCATGCATGAATGCTCTTCATCTATTCCTATTAATTCATATAGCTAGACAAGCAGACTTGCACATCTCATACCATGCTTATACTACTTGGTCCAAAATGCCCATTTATATGAACTAACACCTATTTCAATCATCCTATAATTCCCCTTTTGTTAGTCATTTTGTCTAACTCCCTTTCGTCAGTCCTGAATCACCCAATAAAAACCATGTGCACTGTGGGATCCCTGAGACCTGGTACCTGCCAAGAGCTAGACTCAACTACACAAAATATTATTTCCATTACCCTTTTTTCCATCATTATTTTCTTAACCCAACAACTCCAACCAATTACCATGACATGATATAATTATGCAAACATTATTCAAATAATTCACAATACGTAAATATCATATATCAATAACATTATACAATATCACACATAATATAGAGCTCATGAAATTTAATTAGATTAATCCCCATGAAGGCCCCTAAGAAACCCCTACCTTGATACCAAAACTTTTGCTAAAACTTTAAAGTATTTCCCAATTTTCCACTGCATTCACAAACTCGGTCTCCTACTATTTTTCTTACTTATCTCTACCACTATTTCTTTCTCGTTTCCTTTGTTTGCACTTGTTGTGCAACTTAATGTCCTATATATATAGGAGGAACAAGTCGGCAGGAAGTGATTTCCTATTGGATGGTTTATTGGCGGTTGATACAAACTTACTGTCCAAGTAATAGTTATTAATGTAGTTGCATATAAGGAAGAAAGTTTTTGTGACTCTTCCAATCCCTCTAATACTTTTCTTATCTTCTTGGTGAGTTGATAGCCTTGATACTTAACAGGTGTTGTACTTTGACACGTATTAACAATAACTATTTTAAAACATATACATATATATAATAGGATAAGTATATATGTAATACACATATTTATATATATAATAAGATGATATATATATAAATAAAATCGGTAAATATATAAGTATTATTATAATAATATAATAATTAATATAAAAGTACAACAACAATATTTACATATACGTACCAAGACAATTACACATACTAATATATATTTAACTAAGATAATTATATATTAAAAATATAGGGGTTCACATTGTCGCTCATTTATTGGATTGTATTTAGAGCTTTTGCTACAGTTCTTGCTCTGGTACTTGCCTCAATACTCTCCATTCTCTTGGTGTCGGACTTTTGATATATACCTTGGTGTTATGATTGGTTATTGTTTTCTCTTAAGTGTATTGGCAGATTTAAGTGTGTTGGAGAATGTGACTTTTGGAGGAATGTTCAAGGGCTGATCTATTTTCGATTTTTGGTGGAAGATCGGTGGGTCTCTATATGCAGCAATGCTGACATGTGTAGTGGTGGTGTACCTCCTTTGTGGCAATTATGGTGCGGTCTCCGTCCCTTTTAAGGGTGATGATGGCTTCGTATTGTAATTTGGTTTGATTTTGTGATGGGAAAGACTATTATACTATACTGTACTGGGTTTAGTTTAATCTTCTCAAATTTGTGGTAATTTGTTCCTTTAGTTAGCCTTTTTCGGCTTTTGTATTCTCTATTTGTTTCCTCATCATTCATGGGTTTTGAATGAACATAATTGATTACGACCAATAAATAAATAAAAACTCATTAGGAATTTTTTTTAATACCCATTATATCCTCACATAATTTTAAAATTTTAAAATTAGTCATTTATTTTTAACCAAATAACGAGAGTATTTTAGTAATTAATAATTCCATATGGTTTAGTAAACAACTTGTATAGGAATATAGAATCTAACTCTCTTCAATTTATATAATTTAGTAAATAACTTCAATATAAATACGAAATCTAATTATCCTCAATCTAACTCATACCCCAACACCCCCCACACAATCAGGTTTTTTAGGTTTTAGACATAAAAAAAATTTCACTTTTGAAAAAAGCCAAAGCTTTTTCAAAAAAGACAAAAAAACCACTCAACTTTCAAATCAAAGACATGCAAATGTATTGGATTTCTTAGGAAATCTAAAAATAAATAAGGGCATTTTTGTCCATTTTTGATTCTTTTAAAATTTTTTTCTCTCCTTTTGCTTTTTCCAAAATGTCCCCACCCCCAATTCAATTACACCGAATCCAATTAGTAAAATGCCATAATTGCATTCGACTCGATTGGTTTCTCTTCTCTTCTGGGCTTTTTGGCCCACGAACTGATCTGCGACTCCCTCACGTTCACAAATGTCCACCACCTGGAACCCGAAACTGCTTCCAAAACTGGTCTTACGCGCATAATCTGATCTGGGTCTTCTTCAAAATCGCAAATTTCCAAATACCAACGACCTGAATTGCTTCCAGAAGTGGTTTTTAGTCGATAATTTGATCTGGGTCTGATTCAAAAAATTTACGCCTAGAGGTCCAATTGCTCTGATATTAAGCATGGTTTCTCTGTCCAATTCATTGCTGTTTCCTCTGACTACATCCAGTGGCTTTTCTCGGTCGGTTAGATTTGCAAGGACAACCAATTGGTGTAGTACTAGTGACAAACAAAAGGGAGAGCCCAGAAACGTTTTATGTGCTTGTATGGCGCCTCCCCCGAACTTGAGGAGCGATGAATCTTTTGCAGCAAAATTTGAGGTAAGTCCTTAACAACCTTTTCCCTCAAGTTATTGTCTTTGAAGAACTAGTCTTTTGTTTTTTTTCCTTAATTCTTTTATTCAAACAACCATCTTCTATGCTTATTTGGCATCTATTGACATCTACATTTCATCGGTATTTGTCAGCTCCTTTTTATTTTCTTCGATAAGCTGCAATTGGAGGAAAAAACTTATCTTTGTTGATTTGTTTTCGCCCATATGTATGGGGGCAAAGTGTGCAGTTTTCATTTGACTATGGCACAGTGTTTTATTTTGTTATAAGTTTGAAGAATACAAGTTAACATTTTGTGTCTCACCAGGATTCATTTAAATCAGAGAATTTAAGCACAGTTCGGGAGCCTGAGGATGATTCTGATGTTCTAATCGAGTGTAGAGATGTCTACAAATCATTTGGCGAGAAGCATATATTGAGAGGTGTGAGCTTCAAGGTGAATCTGATTTCAACACATATTAAGTTCTTTTGATTATGTCTTTTTAGTTGTTTCAAGAATTTATATGCATTTCTTTTGTGAGGATGTAGCATAGGTCTTAACTTTGCCATTATCTTCTGACTAGGATATAGTTTCCTAGTTAAGCGTGCCAAAAGTTAATTCTTTAGCTTGGAATTTTGGCTCATAAAAAAATTTGAAAACTAATTATTTGCTTCAGAATAGGAAATCAATGCTTAGTTCCCTTCCTCATCAGTACGTATTTGTAAAGGAGGAGTCAATGCACTGTTTGGATTGAATGGCATTTGGCTTATGGGTTAGGTAGTAGATTGTTATGCTTATTGAAGGTCATTCAGGTTTGGCCCCAATTAGAATAGTTTTGGAGGTTTGCGTCATTATGGGATTTGGTATGTTTTTTTTAAGGATTTTCATTACTTCTCTTTCTTAGCGATGGGCAACAATCTGTGTTGTTATTTACTTTAATATTGCTGTTTACCATGGGATGTTCTGCTGGTCTTCCTTTCATTAGTTTGTGCTTTCTTATATTATAATTTTGTTTCTCAAAAAAAGTTATTGGTCAATGGTGGATTCATTTATAGATTAGACATGGCGAAGCTGTTGGAATAATTGGGCCTTCTGGCACGGGGAAATCTACAGTTCTAAAGATTATTGCTGGGCTTCTTGCTCCTGACAAGGTTAATAGTTAATCTGGTTCTCATGTTGTGCTCACCTTTGTTTAATTAACTTGCGTTTACACTTTAATGAGCTTATTATTGGTTCTCTTACATAGACTCTGTCCATTGTGTAACACATCAGGGAGAGGTATACATTCGAGGTCGAAAGAGAGATGGTTTGATAAGCGATGAGGAGATATCTGGTCTTCGGATTGGATTGGTAAACTTTATTATTAACTGGTCTGCTAGGGGTTATCTATTCTTTCTGATTCACTTATATCCAAAAGGTCTTTTAATGCATTTATCCACTATCTAACAGGTGTTCCAGAGTGCTGCACTTTTTGATTCTTTGAATGTTCGTGAAAATGTTGGTTTCCTTCTGTAAGACAGTTTTAGATTCTTTTGAATTTTGGATATTTATTTATCTATTTTTATTTTTTTGCATTGGTTTCCACTTAATTGCATAGGGCTGATAGTTTACGTTTTAATAGAATATGCCAAAATATAATTCATTCGTTAATTGATTAGGTATGAAAATTCAAGCATGCCTGATGATCAAATTTCAAAGCTTGTGACTGATAGCTTGGCTGCTGTAGGGTTAAAGGTATGTATAAAATATCAATTTATCAGTCTGCAACGATGCTACCTTCTCCAACTTACTATCCAATTTATTTATATTGTACTTGGTCATTTGTTTAGGGTGTTGAGGATCGATTACCTTCGGAGCTGTCTGGTGGAATGAAGAAACGAGTTGCTCTGGCTCGGTCTATAATTTGTGATACTACAAAGGAAGCCATAGAGCCAGAGGTATATTGAGGAGCTGATAGATTTATTTTGTTCTCTATCTACTTTTGTTTCCTTGGATAATGTTTGCGTAAATGTTTTAGTACTCAATTGAAACTATGGCCTTTTAGTGGTTCCCATTGCATTACTTCATAGTCATTAGTATCATCCCTCCGAGTTTAGGATGTAGTTGTGTACTGTGTTCTCATGGTCTGACTCCGACAGAGGCATCTGGTAGGGCCTGTCTCCTGATTCCTGACAGTATTCTACACCCTTCCACAGGTGCTCTTATATGATGAGCCAACCGCTGGACTTGATCCTATTGCATCTACTGTGGTAGAAGACCTCATCCGCTCTGTCCATACAAAAGATCAGGCAGCGATTGAGAAGCCTGGGCAGATTGCATCTTATGTTGTTGTTACTCACCAACATAGTACCATTAGACGAGCTGTTGACAGGTTGGGCTTCATACAAATTGTCATGTGATTATTGAACACTTGCGTTGATTGTTTCATATGTGTTTTAAGCAAAGCATATATTCAATGTGTATAGGTTATTGTTTCTCTACGAGGGCAAGATAGTGTGGCAAGGAATGACTCATGAATTCACAACCTCCACAAATCCAATCGTTCAACAGGTAATGACAGATTTGGTTTTGCAATGAATTAGTTTGACGACATGTGCAATTAGATAGTTTAGGCATTGGTGTTCATAATTTGTTTCTTCTGTCAGAATCAGATAGTTGGGATATGTTTTAAGCTTGATGATGATCCGGAGTCCCAGTACTTACTTCTTTTTTTTGTGAGTGTTGCTTTCAGTTTGCTTCTGGGAACTTGGACGGCCCAATTAGATATTAGAGCTTGTGCTTGGTGTGCATACTAGACAACACACGGTCCCTGAGGACTGCTGCATACCAGTGGAGAATGCTGGGAAAATGGGTCAGATGGTGCCTGCACATTCAGGCTCTGCCTCCTTTCTTATATAATTAGATTTCATTGCAGGGGATTGGAGCTCAAATAAAACAAATTTCTCAGTCGCTAACAGAAACCATGGCCGTGCAGCTGATTCAAGAGAGCCAGCATCTAAATTAGGCATATGGCGATTGGCAGGATAATTTGCTCTTTTTTCTTAATTATAAATTATTGTTACCTTTCTCTGGGTTAGTGTCAAATTTATGAGATCGGGGACCTGCTTTCATCCCCATTTGTCAAGGAGAGTGCATTCAAAACTTAATAACATATAATTGATCTTATTTCTAATGAAAGAAGACTATAGCATTGCCCAAAAGCTGGTACTCGGGCAAGGGCCAACCAACGGCATGCCATTGCCTGATTATTGTTGTCAATATCATTGAAAACAAGGTCATGAAAGCTTATGGCATGTTATTGTTGCACTCTCAGTACCACGTTCCGAACAGCTAGGTTCTATGTTAGCAAAGCATGGAAGAGCAAACTCATCCATTAGTGGGGGTCAACAAAAAGCAATCTAGAAAAAGAGTAATTAAAATGTACATCTTATCGTTTTCCTCCACATCAACATGTACATTACACTAAGCTTTTGTCTGGAGAATGTAATTTCGTGCTCGAGGTGAGCAAAAGAGGGCCAAACCCCCAAAGTAGAAACTGAGGAAAGCGCTTAGACAAAAAACCCAAACAGAAATCCACCCCTCGTCCTCTTCCCCTTCAAGTGCATTACCCGGCACCACGGGGAGGCTTGCTGGGTCACACCCTCCATCAGAGGACTCCAAACACAAATCTGGATTTCCAGCAAATGCTCCTGGAAACCTCCAATATCCTTGTTTCTTTGTAACAAATCCAGAGAAACAGTTATATGACAAATCCAAAAGAGTCAGGTCTTGAAGGCTGGAAATGTTTCCAGGAATATGACCTGACAAAGAATTGTGTGATATATCCAAGGCCCTTAAACTCCGCATCTTCTCTAAATCTGGAACACGACCCTGAAGAAAATTGTGTGACAAATTCAGGTATTGCAAACCACGTAATCCAAATAGTCCCACTGGAATCTCCCCATCTAGCACATTGTTAGAGAAATCAATTCCAACCACCGAAGATAGTACATAACTGAAGCTTAATTCAGTGCTACCAGTGACAATAATAAAAACTTTTGTATCCGCATTGTGCATTGTACCAAACGGCTCTCTCTGCATTTTATCAAGCTCTCCATTCTTAAAATTTATGCTCATGTTAAAGTTACCATCTGGTATGAAGCCAGAAAATTTGTTTCCTGAGAAATCCATCATTCTGATCACTTGAAAAGTAAAGAGCCAACTGGGCAGATTTCCACTAAATTCATTTTGAGCTAGGGACAGATACCTGAGGTTCGACCATTTGGTGATTGCATCACTCAAAGTTCCAGAGAGATTGTTGGAGCTGAAATCTACAATCTCCAGAGATTTACAGCCTGCTAAAGTAAGTGGGATCTCACCAGATATCTTGTTGTTGCTAATGTCCAGTATCTTCAAGCTATCCAATGCATCAAGTTCCGGTTGAATTTCACCAGAAAGATTGTTGTTATTGAGTATCAATGCAAGCAGCTGAAAACAACCAACGATGTTCAATGGAATTGAACCTGATAACAAGTTGTGTGAGAGATCAATCACTTGGAGATACGTCAAATTTCCAATCCTCGCTGGAATTTCCCCAACAAGAAGATTGTTGGATAGAAACAAGGCCTGCAAGCTTTTCAGTTCTGTAATCTTCAATGGGATTTCACCGGAGAAACGATTGTGAGATAAATCAAGAAGAACAAGCCCAGACTTCTCAGTTGTCTCTGCAATCTTGCTCGGAAGGTGACCAGACAGATCATTGTTACTCAAGTCCAACACAAGAAGCTTCTCTGAAAACACAAGTCTTGGAGATAATTCATAAGACAAGTGATTGAATGAAAGGTTTAGATGCTTCAAAGCTTGAAGTGAAGCCATACATGTAGGCATTCCTCCCATAACAGAATTGTTAGCCAGATTCAAAACTCTAAGAGACTGAACACAAGCAGAGAAACAAGGCAAAGTACCGGAAAACTGATTCGACCCAAGATTGAGAAACACCAAGGATTGGTGAAAATCACTTAGAGTACCAGATAAATTATTGTTCCCGAGATCTAAATATTTCAAAGATTTCAAGTACAACAAGCTTTCAGGAATTTCCCCATGAAATGAATTGAAACCTATATCTAGTTTTTCCAACTGTGCTGAGAAATTACCTACCCACCAAGGAATAAGACCTCCCAAATCCTTGTTACCATTCAAAACAAGTTCTTTCAACTGCCAAAGCCGCATAAGTGTATCAGGCACAGTACCATAAAACCCATTGTAACCAAGATGTAGAGTTTTGAGACTGCGTAGAGTGCCAAAACATAACGGAATTGTGCAAGTAAAGTTGTTTCCGGACAAAACCAAATGTTCAAGAAATGGAAGTTTGCACAAGTTGGGGTGAATTTGGCCAGACAAGTTCATGTTGGTCAAATTAACTGAAACCACTCTGCCAGTCTGGTTTTCGCAGGTGATTCCAGTCCAGTTGGTACAGTCAGACCCAACCCAGCTGGACAAGCTCTGGCTAGGGTCTTGGAGGCATGACCTAAATAGCAAAACTGAGGCTTTGTCATCTGGGTAAAGGTCGACACTTTGAGAAAGGTTTGAACATAGAAGCACAAAGAATATCAGTAGCAGTGCACGTAAGTTGAGAGGATTACAGTGGCAAAACACTGAAACCCATTTGTGTTCCATGACTAACAAATAGAGGGTTTAGACAAGTGAAAGAAGGTTGAAGAACAACAACAGCTAAGCTTGGCGGCAGTAGCTGAAAAATTAAGGCAATCACAGCGATGAAAAGCTAAAGCCCATCTTTACCAAGATGGGTTAGAAGCTAAATATTGGACAAGCTGAAGAGAAAGCTCAGTGGCAGAAGCTATAAATTAGACCTACCACAGGGGTAAAATCCGAAAACCATCTTGAAGAAGATGGATAAGAAACAAAATCTGCTAGTCACACTTAGAAAAACAAGAACGGGATGTGATATTGCGTTGAAGTAAGTGATAGCTGAAAGGTGCAGAGACAGAGTTAGAGAGAATGGGACTTACAGATGAAAATGATGCACACTGTACTGTAGTAGAAGCAGCAAAAGAATATGGAATTTGGAAAAGCCATTAAAGCTTCTTTTTCCCTTGGCCTTATATTTATTCCATTTTCTTTTGAAGTGTGATGATGAGTGTATGTGAGTAAGCTCAGACGCGTGGGCTGGTATTGGAATGAATGACCGACCGACTGACCGACCCATAAAGTTGGATGGATCCATTAGAAAGGACATTGGGCTGGGCTACCAAATTCACTGGGAGCAGTAAGAGGGAAGAAACAAAAAACATGACGTCGGTTTGACCATGGTCGAACAGCCTCGAGCACCATGGTTGGTGTGTAATGATTTATAAGAAGAATAAGAAGATCAAATCTTTTGGCTAAATGGGAAGTTTTTAGCTAAGAAAACAAACTCATTTGCCTTTAAATATAGATTATTCATTCACCGAATTTCAGATTTTCGCTCTGATTTAGTCATTCCCATCCGCATCTCTTCAATAATTAGCAAAATTCAAGCACTTGGAGACACACACGCATTCACACAGCTCAGAGAGTCAGAAGAGAGACCGAGGCTGAGACACATTTGATGGGCCTTTACCTTGCTCTTGTGCTTCGTCATCAATGGCCAAACCTCTCCCTTCCTTCACTTTCTTGACCCTTCACAGATTACCCATTACTGGTTTTCACCTCCTCCTAATCTTCCTCCACTCTCTCTTATAACTCTCACCCCTTCGCCGGTTTTCCCGGTACCTCCTCGCCCTCTTATTCTCCTGGTTATTTCCCAAGAAATTTTCCTGTCTGGGGCTTTCTCAAGAATCTTTTGAGCCTCTCTATTTTATATTTGATCTGGGTTTACTTCGATTTATTCATTTTTTTTCTTTAAAATTAAAAAATAAAAACAACCCAAAAAAAAAGTGCCGTTTTTGTGTATCATTTGTTGGCTTGTTGGGGCGAAAAGGTGGGCAGAGTAACAGAAAATTGAAGTCCGTTTAAAGAAGCTTGAATTCCCGGGAAAACGAGAGAACTCAAATTTTGAGTTTGTCTCTTGAGGTAAAGTTTTCATTTTTTTTCTATTTCATAAAATAAAATAAAATATTCATTTTTAATCAAAATCTCATACTAATTAAACAGCAGGGAATGAAAAAAAAAGGAGAAATCACTATGATTTTCCTTGGTTATGCTTAACTTTATCGTCATCTGATTCTGAACAGAAAATTGGGAATGGCATCGGTGTTTCTTTTCCATGTTGTGGGTGATCTAACGGTGGGGAAGCCAGAGATGGTGGAACTGTGTGAGACGGAGACGATGGAGGCTGCGATAAAAGCGATCGGAGAGTCGATGGAATGTGGTATACCGGTATGGAAGAAGAAATCACATGTGGGTATGGTTGAAAACGATGAAATGAGGCAGCAGAGGTTTGTGGGCATCCTCAATTCCCTCGACATTGTTGCTTTCTTTGCTAAAAGTGAGTGTCTGGAGGATCATGATAAGGCTTTGAAGACTCTGGTGTCTGATGTTGTTGTTCCTAATAATTCTTTGCTGAGGCAGGTTGATCCTGCGACAAGGTTTGCTGCTTTTCAATCTTATTACTCTATATGGTCATGCTATGAATTTCCATTGATCTTAGATCAAGTTTGGTACCCTACTTTTTAGTAGTGTTGTTTCTACGATTATTGATCATGGTGTTTTGTGATTAGATTCTGATTAGCTTTCACTTTAAACTGTCTTTTTTACCCTTTCCATTCGTACATTCATACAACTGCTGCAACCATTCCATTCTTGAAATAGTTTTTTATTTTGTTTGGAATTGGCTTGAAACCGTTATTTTTATCTAGCCTGATGACTAATTAAGATTCAAATTCTGGTATCAATCAAACAAGGAAATGGGAAATATGAAGTTTAAAGAAATCAGTTTTGTGTGCATCCATTTCTTAGATGTCTTTAACCAAGATGGCGTTTCCTTTATGAAGAAAAATTATCCCCAGTACATGAGTTACTAGTTGTGAAGTTCTATAGAATTGCTTTACGTTTAGGATACACATTGATTTCTTAAAAGTAATGTGTTTTTTCTTTCTTTCAAATTTCTCTTTCTGCAAGGTTGATAGATGCACTGGAGATGATGAAGCATGGTGTAAAGCGTCTTCTTGTT